GTTTCACCTGTCCTGTCCTGTCCTTTAACCTGTCTCACCTGTCCTGTCCTGTCCTTTAACCTGTTTCACCTGTCCTGTCCTTTAACCTGTTTCACCTGTCCTGTCCTGTTTCACCTGTCCTGTCCTTTAGCCTGTCCTGTCCTGTCCTGTTTCACCTGTCCTGTTTCACCTGTCCTTTAGCCTGTCCTGTTTCACTTGTCCTTTAGCCTGTCCTGTCCTTTCCTGTTTCACCTGTCCTGGCCGTACTTTAATTCCTGGTTTTTAAAAAACTGCTGGGAAAGATCAGCTCCAGCAAAATATAGATGGGCAAACAATGAGGAAGAGGAAGAAAAACAGGATAAAGAGGAAGAAAACTAAAAATATAAATTTATTTTATTAAGTTTGTTTTTGTAAGTTTGTGAGAGCTATTTTTGTCCCATTTTTGGAGGTTCTTCTTTTGGTTATTTATTTATATATGTATTTTTCTAATACAGAAGAGACATTATTTCTATCATTATTTCATTCATTATTTTTGAAACCTGTCATAATAAAACATGTTGAGTAACCTTTGAGAAGCCTATCTGAATTTGTGTCTTATAATATAACAATTTTATATCCATACAGAGGAGGCATAGCCTACTTTAAATGTATTGAAATTAATAAAGCATTTTTGAATAAACATGGAGTATCATTTGGGTATCTGTTTGCCGGGCCGAAGTTTTTGATGATCAAAATAGGGTCACCCACCCTATCGATAAAACCATTGAGAGCCATGAGAGCAATGAGAAATTAAATTCATCAATTACCAAACCTCAATATTAAACACCTTTTATACATGCTCTAATCAACAGCCATGTTAGCGCATCGGTACATTAGCAGTTGTGTTGTGTGGATCGCCAGCTGATTATCCTCACACACAGGAGACAGCGACACACACTGAGTGCACGCGAGTGCTCCCTAACGCGAGTATGCAGCCTGTGTAGGGCACCAACTAACAAACCACTTAATCTTTTTTGAAAATAGACATTACTTCAGAAGTAAAAAAAATACAATATAGATAAAAAACTTCAAGTGTACTGTGATATGTACAGCACTAAAAAATGTTTTTATAAAAAAATACAAAATAGATCTTACTCTAAAATTGATAAAGATATTTTTATAACTTGAATGTAAATGTATTACACTATTATCCTTACATAAACAACATTAGTTATTACAGATGCTGAGTTTAACATGGGAACGTGAAAGGGGTTAGGGTTTTCTTATTAAAACAGAAGATCTGATTTAAGATCATACCAGATATCAGGTATAAAGTGTCCAAATCTGACCCTTCCTGCAGACTTCAGGTCAGACACACTTGTAATCCTAAACACTTAGCTGGTTAAGGTGTGTGTGGTTGGCAACCATTGGTTTACCATGTCCACATGGTGGCAGTATTGTGTTGTATTTGTAGGCCAGGGGACCGTGAGTGTCCAACCCTGCTCCTGGACACACACTATCCCACAAGAGTCCTTCCAGCCCTCACCTATACTGCCTGGACACAGTAACACCTCAAAAAGAAACAGAAACTTTGGACCAGAATAATTTGATAATGACTTGGACTCCATGCTGAAGCCCAAAACACAGACAATAGGGACACCAGAATAACAATATTCATGATTCTGAAGATGAAAACGCAGAATATTGTATTTTAATATGCTTGATCTCTGTATATTTTAGATTTAAAGTAATGACATCCACTTTTACTGGTAACACCAGATATCTGTCATTATCAGGAGGACCCACAAATATTCCCATTATTATACATTATATTCAACATATAGGCCTAGTTTAATTTACCATTGACACTAAAACTCTGAAAATTCACATTTTTCCCAACATTTGAGTTTTAGTGTCAGTTGTAAATTGACACTATCCATGATACATATTGTCGCATTTTGTTTTGTGATATATTGTGACACGATATATTATTACACCCCTACTGTACAGTATTATTTATATTTTATTATCTGACAATAAAGGGCCTACTAGTCTCTTTTAAAAGGCACTGTTAAATATTGCCCTAAAATTATTTGCGAGTGGCATCCTTTACATGTTGTTGTAACGACAGATGCCTCTGCCACGGGCTGGGGTGCCATGTGCAATGGACATGCTGTCACGGGCTCCTGGACGGGTCCCCAATGCCTTTAGCATGTCAATTGCCTCGAGTTGCTGGCTGTACAACTCGCTCTGCGCCGCTTCCGAACTCAAGAACCAGCATGTACTAGTCCGAACAGACAATACTGCTGTAGCTGTAGCGTCCATCAACCATAAAAGTGGTCTGCGCTCCCGCCGTATGTCGCAACCTCCTCATATGGAGTCATAAGCGCCTGAGGTCCCTTCGTGCCGTTTATATTCCTGGAGCCCTGAACCGTGCAGCCGACGAGCTGTCCAGGCTTCAGCCCCTCCCTGGAGAATGGCGACTCCATCCCCAGTTGGTCCAGCTGATTTGGGACCAGTTCGGGGACGCACAGATAGATCTGTTTGCCTCTCACGACTTGACCCATTGCGCCCAGAATTATTCCCTGACCGAGGGCACGCTCGGCACGGATGCACTGGCGCACAGCTGGCCGCAGGGCCGCAAATATGCGTTTCCCCCAGTGAGCCTTCTTGCGCAGACCCTGCGCAAGGTCAGGGAGGACGAGGAGCAGGTCATTCTGGTCGAGCCGTATTGGCCCACCCGGACCTGGTTCTCCGAACTCACTCTCCTCGCGACAGCATCTCCTTGGCCCATTCCTCTGAGGAAGGACCTCCTTTCTCAGGGACGGGGCACCCTCGTCCCGATCTTTGGAACCTCCACGTGTGGATCCTGGGCGGGAAAAGGCAGGTTTGAGTACCCTACCACCAACGGTGGTGACTACCATCACTTCCGCTAGGGCGTCGTCCACTAGACACATCTATGCATTGAAGTGGAACCTCTTTGTCAACTGGTGCTCTTCTCACCGAGAAGACCCCAGGAGATGCTCGATCAGGGTCGTGCTTTCCTTCCTTCAAGAAGGCTGGAAGCGAAGGCACTCTCCCTCCACCCTTAAGGTCTATGTTGCCACTATTGCCGCACACCATGACATTATCGATGGTAAGTCTTTGGGGAAGCACGACCTGGTCGTCAGGTTCCTGAGAGGAGCGAGGAGACTGAATCCTCCTCATCCTCCTCTCGTGCCCTCTTGGGACCTCTCAGTGGTTCTAACTGCCCTGAAGAGTGCACCATTTGAGCCTTTGCTGTCAGCTGAGCTTAAGTTCCTGTCAAAGAAGACAGCGCTTCTGACTGCATTGGCCTCCATCAAGAGGGTAGGGGACCTGCACGCATTCTCCGTTGACGAAGCGTGCCTGGAATTCGAGCCGGGTTACTCTCACGTGATCCTGAGACCCCGGCCTGGATATGTGCCCAAGGTTCCCACCACTCCCTTCCGGGACCAAGTAGTGAACCTGCAAGCGCTGCCCCTGGAGGAGGCAGACCCAGCCTTGGCACTGCTCTGTCCTGTACGCACCCTTTGTGCTTACGTAGGCAGAACGCAGTCTTCAGAACCTCAGACCAGCTCTTTGTCTGTTATGGTGGGAAGCAGAAGGGAAGGGCTCTCTCCAAGCAAAGGTTGTCTCACTGGATAGTGGACGCCATTGCTTTGGCTTACCAGCAGCAAGGTTGACCGTGCCCCCTTGGTGTGACTGCCCACTCCACCCGGAGCGTGGCGTCATCTTGGGCTCTAGCACATGGCGCCTCGCTAACAGACATCTGCAGAGCTGCAGGCTGGGCGACACCTAATACATTTGTCAAATTCTATAATCTCAGAGTGGAGCCAGTGTCCTCTCATGTACTCGCTTCAACCAGCTAGTACTGGACGCGCTTAGGTGTCTTCGCTTGCTTGCCATTCCACTCCACGGACTGGATACGTGTGCTATTCCTGAGGTGAGCCTCATAAGTCCTGAGTTCCTCCAGCACTCCTGTCGTTGGCGCCAGTGTCTATTGCCTGCGCGTCGGCTAGGTGCCTTCCGTGTGCATGGTCCCTCCCCTGAGCGACCCCCACATGTGTATTCCACTGTAAGCCTCTCTGAGCGTGTGTCTTTCCCTCGGCAAGCCACCTTGCCACTCCTGGGGTTGAAATATTCCACCTGCGGCTGGACACCCCAGTGATTCCCCATATGCATCCTTCGGGTCATATGTGTATTCTCTAAGTCTCCCCCCCCCCCCCCCCCTCGCCCTCTGGATTGGCAATAATTGCATATCTCCCTCTAAACTATGAAATATGCTCCACAGTGTACCTTGGTATTCCTGTGCTAAATAGGAGTCCTTCATCCGTGCCAAGCTAAGTGCGACAGGGTTCTCAGATTTACACAGGGCACTGGAAGACAGCTGAGAAGGTGGCGAGATTAGACTGGTAATCCCATTCGTCGTCATCCGACGGAACTCGGAGTGACAACAAAAGGGAACGTCTCGTTTACGTATGTAACCCTTGTTCCCTGAGTTGGGAACGGAGATGTTCTGTCTTCCTGCCACCTTCAGATGTTTTGCGGGGATCGCCGGACCTCAGTCTTGGCTCCTCAGCTAAGAAACATGCCTGATTTGCGTTCAGCATCCTCCTTAAATACCCACAGCTGATAAGGCACAGGTGAGCGGAGTTACGCCATTATGGCATTTCTTTGCCATTGGATCGTTTTATATTGATTGAAGCTGATAGGCTTTCTAAGCGAAAATCCCATTCCTCGTCATCCGACGGAACATCTCCGTTCCCTACTCAAGGAACGAGGATTACATACGTAACCGAGACGTTAGGGTAAGTTATAAAATATAGGTGTGAACCATTACCCTAAAATATTTTAATTGGATGAATGAAAATATTTTTTTCCAGTGTAGTTGGATATTTGAATTCACTGTCATGCTGTTGGAGGAACTACACATGCATCAGTGCATACTGATATCACAAGAGGTACCCCAACAAATCCACCCATTGGTGGAACAGTGAGCATGAACATTAAAAGAAAACATGTTTCTAGTTGTAATAATCTTTTTTAATAAGACAAGCAGAGTGTAGATTCACCATCTTTAACATCCTTACAAGATTGTATGCAAACTGCATCTGTAGTTCATTTTTAATCAACCTAATGCCTGAATATTTTTTTAAAGCATCTGCTACTCATTGACATACAGAAACTGTTTCACAGAAATGAACTTAACTTTAATTTAACTTAAAATCTTAACAGAAAAAATTAACTTGTTATTTGATATTTTGTTATTTTCTAAGTTCATCTTTTTCTGTCGTACCCCCACTGCTAACAGTAAATTTGCAGAAGACATCCGGAGCATCTTTAGCAGCCTCTATGTTCTGTTTCCCATTACGGTACACTCTGCTTAACATCTTTCCATTATCCGCTTTAAAGAGGACTTTCTCATCCTCAATGAAGACTTGGAATTCGCAGAATACATCAGGTACAAGCTTAGAAGCATGAATATAGTCAATCCCACTCCAGTGAATTCTACTGAGGTACCTGCCCCGCTTGTCCCTCAGCAGGATATTAGAATTGTCAGCCCTGGACACCTTGAACTTGCACCAGTCATCATTGTAGATCTTGGCAGCCTCAATCTTGTAGTTGATGTCACCATTGCTGCACCAGAACATGCCATTGTCTGCTATTAAAGCAACCCCCTTCTCTGTATCAATGTAACTCTTCAAAGGACCCAGACTCTCCACTGAGACTGCAAAAGAATTCCAATTATTCCTGCACATCCATTCATTCTATACATTGTAAAGATCCTACTGGTAAACTCTTGAATACAGTATAATAATTATAAAAACTTAACAGAAAAAATTAACTTGTTATTTGATATTTTGTTATTTTCTAAGTTCACCTTTTTCTGTCGTACCCCCACTGCTAACAGTAAATTTGCAGAAGACATCCGGAGCATCTTTAGCAGCCTCTATGTTCTGTTTCCCATTACGGTACACTCTGCTTAGCATCTTTCCATTATCAGCTTTAAAGAGGACTTTCTCATCCTCAATGAAGACTTGGAATTCGCAGAATACATCAGGTACAAGCTTAGAAGCATGAATATAGTCAATCCCACTCCAGTGAATTCTACTGAGGTACCTGCCCCGCTTGTCCCTCAGCAGGATATTAGAATTGTCAGCCCTGGACACCTTGAACTTGCACCAGTCATCATTGTAGATCTTGGCAGCCTCAATCTTGTAGTTGATGTCACCATTGCTGCACCAGAACATGCCATTGTCTGCTATTAAAGCAACCCCCTTCTCTGTATCAATGTAACTCTTCAAAGGATCCAGACTCTCCACTGATACTGCAATAGAATTATTAGAACAATTATTCCTGCACATCCATTCATTCTCCACATTGTAAAGATCCTACCGGTAAACACTTGAATACAGTATAATAATTAATATATAGAATTGAAGGAATCTGGAACCAACTCCCCAGTAAAGTTTTTAAAGCTGACACCCTGGGATCCTTCAAGAAGCTGCTTGATGAGATTCTGTCATCAATAAGCTACTAACAAGCAAGATGGGCCAAATGGCCGCCTCTCATTTGTAACCCTTCTTATGTTCATACGCAGACACAAGTTGAACAGTTTTTTTTTCCTAAATGGAAAAATAAAACAAATGACAGAAAATAGAACATAACTGCGTTTCTCATAATTTACACTAAGAGGTTGTAACGGTTACCAGCTGGAGTGCCCTATTGAGCCACCAGAGGGCACTCCAGATAAGACTATGTTTCACACAAACTACAGTTCCCAGAACTCACTGCCTGGACTCATCATCACTGATCACATTCACCTGTACCTCATTCACTATTGCATTCACCTGTCCCATCTTGTTAGTCTGGCTATATATACCTTGTTCATTTGTTCAATCCCTGCGAAGTCTTGTTGTACTGTTTGTCTGCATTTCTGTGCATTTTCTGTTTGTTTTCTGGTTTTTTGACTTTTGGATTGTTCTTGGATTTTGATTATTGCTGCCTGCCCTGACCTCTGCCTGCTTCTTGGATTCCCATTGTGTATTCTCCATTGTCCTGTCTGCTGATTCTCGACCCTGCCTGTACGACTATTCTTATATTAAAGCTGCATTTGGATCTACATCTCCCAGTCTCGGAGCAGTTCGTAACAGAAGACTTTGCCGTGCCAAGATCCAGCAGCAATCACCACCTATGAATCCAGCAGTACTTCAGGAAAATCTGCAAGTAGGTGCCCTCGCCTGATCTGAATCCCCAGGATGACTGCCGCTATGCCTGATTGGTCTGAGTACCTGTGCATCCTGTCGGATGTGCGGGCTCAACTAGATCTTTGCACCCTGCCAGTTATTCGTGTTATTATGCGAGATATCAACATTAGCCCTGCCGAGCCTGCGCTCACCGTCAGCCCTGCCGAGCCTGCGCTCCGCGTCAGTCCTGCCGAGCCCGAGCGTTCATCATCGCTAGTTCCGTCCAGCCCTCCCGAGCATGAACTCTCCTCACCGCTGGTTCCGTCCAGCCTTCCCGAATCTGAACTCCCCTCACCGCTGGTTCCGTCCAGCCTTCCCGAATCTGAACTCCCCTCACCGCTGGTTCCGTCTAGCCCTCCAGAGCCTGAACTTCCCTCATCGCTGGTTCCGTCCAGTCCCCCCGAGCATGAACTCTCTTCACCGCTGGTTCCATCCAGCCTTCCCGAATCTGAAATCACCTCACCGCTGGTTCCGACCAGCCCCGTCAAGCCAACGCCAGTGACCGTCCAGCCAGCACCGGTGACCGTCCAGCCAGCGCCAGAGACCGTCCAGCCAGAGCCCGTGACCGTCCAGCCAGAGCCCGAGACCGTCCAGCCCGAGACCGTCCAGCCAGAGCCAGTGACCGTCCAGCCCGAGACGTCCAGCCAGAGCCAGTGACCGTCCAGCCAGAGCCCGTGACCGTCCAGCCAGAGCCCGAGACCGTCCAGCCCGAGACCGTCCAGCCAGAGCCAGTGACCGTCCAGCCCGAGACCGTCCAGCCAGAGCCAGTGACCGTCCAGCCCGAGACCGTCCAGCCAGAGCCCGAGACCGTCCAGCCCGAGACCGTCCAGCCCGTGACCGTCCAGCCCGAGACCGTCCACTCCCCGTCTGCTTCTAATCCGGGGACTCCACCCAAATATTTTTTTTGGGGGGGCCCAGTGTACCAGCCGAGGCCGCCCCAGGGTTCTTCACCGCCGAGGCCGCCCGAGGGGTCTTCACCGCCGTGGCCGCCCGAGGGGTCTTCACCGCCGTGGCCGCCCGAGGGGTCTTTACCGTCCTGGCCGCCTGCACAGCCTGCTCCGCCCTGGCCGCCTGCACAGCCTGCTCCGACCTGGTCGTCTCCACAGCCAGCTCCGCCGCAGTCTCCAGGTCCTCTTCCGCTCCACTGGCCTGGCCCTCCATCCCGCCCCCAGGTCCGCCTCCGCTCCACCTCCCTCCTGGACATTGTGAGGAGCGTCTGGAATCCGCTCCTTAAAGGGGGGGCTATGTAACGGTTACCAGCTGGAGTGCCCTATTGAGCCACCAGAGGGCACTCCAGATAAGACTATGTTTCACACAAACTACAGTTCCCAGAACTCACTGCCTGGACTCATCATCACTGATCACATTCACCTGTACCTCATTCACTATTGCATTCACCTGTCCCATCTTGTTAGTCTGGCTATATATACCTTGTTCATTTGTTCAATCCCTGCGAAGTCTTGTTGTACTGTTTGTCTGCATTTCTGAGCATTTTCTGTGTTTGTTTTCTGGTTTTTTGACTTTTGGATTGTTCTTGGATTTTGATTATTGCTGCCTGCCCTTACCTCTGCCTGCTTCTTGGATTCCCATTGTGTATTCTCCATTGTCCTGTCTGCTGATTCTCGACCCTGCCTGTACGACTATTCTTATATTAAAGCTGCATTTGGATCTACATCTCCCAGTCTCGGAGCAGTTCGTAACAGAGGTAAGGAACACAGTTCTTGTGCTCTTCATGTGTGATTAACTCATGCTCACTTAGTGTGCTGCTTAAGCTGTAAATTGCAGTAAGAAAAAGGAAAAGTCAGGTAAGAACTGTTTGAAAAATTGCCAAATATTATTTTACAACACTTTGCCATCGTTGTTACAGGTTTTCTTTGCGAGTACCGTATTTTGGCATTTTAGAAACACTGATGTACCTGACATTATTAATGTATAATGCCCTGATGTTAATTAAACAGCTACAATATAGTATAAGGACTCGCTTGATGCAGGATATATCTACATATCCGATGGCCTCCTGGAACCAGTCAAATCAGATACAAGAACATAAGAAAGAATACAAACGAGAGGAGGCCATTAGGCCCATTTTACTCATTTGGTTGTTAGTAGCTTATCAATCCCAGAATCTCATCAAGCAGCTTCTTGAAAGATCCCAGGGGGTCAGCGTCAACAACGTTACTGGGGAGCTGGTTCCAGATTCCCACAATTTTCTGTGTAAAAAAGTGCATAAAATTTGTTCTGAATGCGCCTTAATCTAATCTCCACTTGTGACAGGCTTTACTGAAATGTTGTTTTTTATCACATGTGTTACCTGTTCCAAAAGGTGGATTGCAGAATTCCCTGTGCGTGCCTTCGGTATAACACCAGTATTTAGTTTCTCCGTATAAACCACACTCATGGTCTTTTCTGCAAGATTTTCCTGATTTTGTTATAGTTGAATACTGGGGGGAGCATTCAATACTTTGGTGTCCTGAAGCACATGTGTATAACTTGCTGTCAGGATTATACAGGCAAGGTGTTGTACAGCAAAGTTTTGATCCTTTCGTAGTTTTACATGAACCAGAACATGTTTCCCCCTCCAGGCATCGTGTACCATCAGCAGTAATAACTGATTGCGGGCTAGACTTCTCTGAGACAAGTGTGCAGGTATGATCATTGATATTTTTGGCAGAACGCACTTCAATGTGGTGGTGGGATGGCAAGTCAGTCTTAGAAGTAAATCGACAGGCAGTATTAGTATAGGACTTGAATATTTCGTTACTTTCAAACCATTCAGACATTTTACTGTATTCCATTTCCACCACCACATCCAATATTTCCACCTGGTCATGTGATTGTTGGCTTGAGGTTCTCCTTCTCTTGTTCAAAATGAGAGTGTTTAATGCATTTCTTGCTTTTGTACTGAGATTATTATCTAAGGCTCCTGCTTTACGATGTTGAGGTATATAGATTTTTGTTAAAAGGTGTTTTAAATATTGTTCCGATTTTTTATTTGAAGAACCACAGTCATCGTGAAAGATTCTGAAGTTTGAGATTCCATATAACCCTATTAACTGCTGCTCAAGATCATGGATTGACAATATGTTAATTAAAGCTTCAGGTTTATTTTCACCTATGTAACCTAATGAAAAAGATTCCTCTTTCTTGTTGGCGTCAAAACAGAGAGCAGTCCATACATGACTGGGAACAGTTACCATGCTGAAATCTCTGTCATGTTCAACTGTGTCTAAGATTGGTACAGGTATCTTCTCACTAGAAGGAACAACACCAGTCACAAAGTAAGGTAGACCTTTTCCATAATAAGGTTTCACTATTCTTTTTATCTCGTCCTCATACTGTTTCCAGTGTTGTTGGTTGAAACACGGGTCCATAGGCACAGCATTCGTGAGAGTAAAGGTTGCAAGTCTTCCACGGTCGCACTGATAGTTATTTGGATTCAAATGACCACGGTCGTAACTTGTGTGTTTATAAAAATCATCAATTGCTTGTTCACTTTTAAAGTCATCTCTGTTGTTTCCAGGGAGATCCATATTAACATCCTGATAGCCAGAAAGCTTAAAACACACAAACACATACATTAGTCGTAAACATGTTATTAGATAACTCCCACATTTTAAAAGAACAGTAAACTGTTGTAATGCATTTTTTCCAGCCAGCAAAAAGAAGGGAGATCTGACTGTCAGGGACTCCATATTGAGAAACACAGCAAGTTCAATGTGCAACCTGGACCCCCTCATAACAACAGTGTGCTGCCTTTCCAGGAGCCTCTGTCAAGCACATCACTGAGACGTGGACAGGCTCCTAGAAAGAACTGGAGATGACCCGGTAGTAGGGCTGTCACTTTACGTTTGAAAATCGATTGCACAATCGATCGGAATCGATTTTAACGGCCTTCTCTCAGAGCACGTCCAGCTCGTCACGACACGCTCGCAGCGAACGCGCGTCACACAGCAACACACAAACACACACACATAACAGCAAATTGTACTTCTGCATAGTGAAAAATGTGAATTCTGCCGGTATTCAGAAAGTCTCATGCATACAGATACAGATTCAGGCTACAATGTTGGCAAAATTTGTTTGACATTTAAGTAGTAGGCTAATCGAAATAATAACTCTAATCGTAAACAGAGCCATGTTGAATCCTAATGTTTTTCATTGATGTTATGGCATACCACTCTGCTTATTTTTTTTCCCGAGAATGTTACACTCCTGTTTGTCATTGTGCACGGAGCTTCATGTCAATAAAACATTAGAAATATTCAAGTGCACGTCTTAAGCGCCCTCTTTAGGCCTACGTTCGCCCTTATGCGGTGTCCGTGGATTTGCCTATATTTGGCTAAAATGGAAACGTGTTTAAACATGGAAAATCGATTTTACAATCGATTCAATGAACACTTATGTCTCAAAAATCGATCAGGATTTTTTTACAAAAGTGACAGCCCTACCCAGTAGTAGTCATCCACATCGGCACAAACAACATTGCAAGAGACAGACCAAGAACCCTGCAAAACAAATTCAGAGAGCTAGGAAAGAAATGAAAAGATAACTGTGGTATTTTCTGGGATACTGCCGGCACCTTGCAAAGAACCATATGGACAGCTGGAAATAAATACTCAAAATGCATGGCTGAAATTGTGGTGCACATGGGAAGGCTTCACCTTTCTTGAACATTGGACCACATTCTACAACAAGGACTATCTATACAGGAGGGATGGACTGCACTTAAATAAAAAGGGAACCAATGTACTCAGAGAAAGGATCCTTGAAGGTGCAGAAGCAGTTAACTAGAAAGGAAGGGGGGAGAAATCAACAAAATAACAGAAGGGATACAACTTCAAAACAAAGGCTACAAAGCAGGTAAGACTACCATTAAATGTATTTTAAAAAAGTCTCAAACAAAATGTTACTTAGAACGGTTAATGTTAGAAATGTTAATGTGAAGAAACCACAATAAAAAGTGAACTATGACTTGGTTAAGCAAACGTTTAATTAACCCCAAAACCCTCCTTGCTTTTTTTCATTTAGAGCTAGATTTGATCATTTCATACCCTATCACTCCACCAACACTCAGTAAAACAAAGCTTAATTTACAGGCTTACATTTATCCCCCTGGGGACCCAAAAACGCGTCCCCGCGTTTTGATCGTTTTTTCACATAGCTGCAACATAGAATTAAAATACTCTGTCATTAATGGTCATATAAATAAAATCAATACATGATACTGTATCACTCCTGCATAGGCTCAAACTAAGGGAATGACACTTGACGGCCCAGAGAGTCAATGAAGAAAATTAGAGGTCGACCGATATTGGATTTTACCGATGACGATAGCTAGGTTGGGCTGTACTTGCCGATAACCGATTAATCAACCGATAGTTTTTAAAATTGATACTGGATAAAAACAAACATAACACTCCATGTAAAACAGTGCTGAACTTTATTATAAAAATACAAAAAACTGTATGAACCATGAAAACAAGTCAATAAAAGGCATTCTTTCAAAAAAAAAATAATAATAATAATCTAAATAACAAATTAAACATTCCAAATGTAACTGTTTAACTGTTCTTTTTCAAGCCAACCTAATGAATAAAAAAGACTTTCAAATAATAGCAAAATTTGCCATCTGAAAATAATTTAAACATTAAAATATGTCAAATGTGTGTTTCTTTAGCTATAACATGTTGCAAGTCCAATTTGTTAACAATGATTTATTAGCTAGTTTATATGAACTATGTGCATTATGCAATATAAATGTTTACAGCATTAATATTTGAGCAATACAATTTCACCTTGATCATTCATGTTAGTTCATAGAGTTTTAACGATGGTTAACAAATAAAAACCTTAATTTAAAAATGTAGTATGTTAATTAACAAACAATGAACAGCAGTTATTAACCTTAGTTAATGTTAATTAATGTGTTAACCAGCGACTGGCAAGTTCGGGGCTTTATTACTGTCGGTGGTTCGGGGGGCTCCACTATGCGCTGCTCTGTCTATTATTGGTCCAACCTAATAAAAACGCCAACGGTCCGTGAAGCATAGCCTATATGAGTTGCGTATTTTTGTTCCACTTTCATTTTGTTTGTATTCGCTGCTATAGGTAACGTGTCGATAGATCGCTTATTGCTCAGACGCACATCAGGTTGTGATATTTGTCTCCGTCTCTCATGTTCCCACAGACGTTTAATCGCGCTATTCTTGTCACGGATTCATTGACGCGTCCCTTCCACGCTTACCATGCGTTAAACGTGTGGCAAATTTACCGGTCGCACATGACTGGATGTAAAATTCAGTCGCACACTCTCAAATTTTGGTCGCAAAATGCGACTATTTGGTCGCAGTCTGGAGCCCTGTATTTTATAGAACTTAAAGAATATTTAATACAAATAAATATGTATTAAAAGTGATGGTAAAAAAAGAACCGAAATCGAATGCTTCTCTGATTCGTTTGTTTTTGTCGGCTGTATGAACATATCAGTTTGCTATCATCATATGCCTCTAGCTTATATGCAACGTCGCTCCATAATGAATGCATCAAAGTGACCAGCTGGATATAAACTGATGCAAATAGATGGTAACAATTTGTGACATTAAACATTCGGGTCGGACTTAGGTGTATTTTTGTGTTCGTGTTTTAACCGCTTGAGGTACTACTAATGTGCATCCTCTCAGCCACTCTCGAAGGCAAACAAACATACTGTTGTGCGGTTCTTTCTCTACTAATGCAGCATTTAGTCAACAAATTCATCAGTTTATAATGATATGACTAAATGTCCTGTGTACATGCCTTTTCGCTGTCCGTGCTTTAGCACGCGCATCAGATGTCAGCGATCTCCGCTCTCCACACAACGCAGCACGCAGTGTCACGTGTCGAAATAAACAACACGAGGCATCAGTTGATAGTTTTTATGACACCTCTAGAGGCCGCTCTTGTACTGCATGATGCCAGCAGACCCTTCTCAGCTCTCTCGTACTGTGTAATGAATGACAGCGCACTTCTCAGCCGCCCCAGCAACGGACGAAACCAGGAAATAACTATCGGTGCGGATTTTTGCCGATAACGATAGTTCCACCAATCAACTATCGGTGCCGATTAATTGGCAAATCCGATGAATCGGTCGACCTCTAAAGAAAATGTTTAAATATTCCATGTGACTACAGCGGCTCAACTATAAGTTTATCAAGCAACGAGAATACTTTTTGTGCGAAAAAACAAACAAAAATAACGACTTTATTCGACTATTCCTTTTCTTCCTTGTTGGCCTGAAACGAGACTTTTCGAAAATTTCGAAATTTCGACGACGCATGCACGAGAATTGCGATCTCCTTCAACTACTTCAGTTCAGTTCTCGCGCATGCGTCGTGGAAATCTATGGAAGTCTCGTTTCAGGCCAACAATAACGACTGTGGAAAGCTGCTCTTTTTTCAAAATAAACTTGCATTCTTAACTACTTAGAACAATATCTAAGGCTGCATCAAAAGGTAGCTTCGCGTCTGCTGCCATGTTGAATCCATAGATATAAACAAACTGCTTTGGTGTGTCGAATAGATGTCATCATCGTCTTGCTGCTCCCTCCCCGTTCTGTGATTGGTTCCCTAAATGAGGCGAAAATCTGGGCCATGGTATCCAGACTGCCTTTCAGTATTAATAAAATCGCGCTGCGGGAAGGCAGCATGGGGAAACCCAGACTAGAGATTTGTTCTATTCTGATCTGTAAAACCAAAAAGACTGTTTAAATATAAATCGGGTGTGTGAACGAACTAACGCACAGATGCATATGTAACCCCTCTCGAACCCAGGTCTCCGGCGTGAGAGTCAGGCACTCTAACAAGTTCATGAACATGTTTCCATAATTATACAATCATAAGTGGATACAGTAAGCACATAAAACAGTTCAGTATGGAGATAGATGGAAACAAAAACCGAAGTTTTCTACTACCCCTGTTTCCCCCTCACACACACACATAAGTGTGTAATTTACTCGAATGCCTTTCCTTTCATATATTTTAAATGACCTGCAGATTTATAACTGTATTACCTCATTATAACTGTAACAAAAGATGTGTAACAAAAGTGCCGCAGGGTTAGGGTTAGGGTTAGTGTGCGGCTGATGCTCCTTTGGTTATGAACAGCTCGTGCAAACGTGCATGTATGTGTGTGTGAGTGCGCACGCAGTTTCGCTTGTCGCCAGAGGGGGCGTAGTTCTGCAAAAACTCAGATACTTGCGTTTTGCTCCTTTAAAAATAATACTTTATATGGAAAAAGAATTTTCTTTTCAAGATGTACTCTAACTTTGAACCAATTCTACACAATGGCCCATATAACCTATTTGATCAGGATTTGTTTCCAGGTATGACTAAAAATGGGTTTTTGACTTTCATTTATATTTTGATTTTATATATATATATATATAGGTTAGGGTTAGGGTGGTAATTGCAGGTAATTGCACGCGCTCTGCCGATCTCTCTCATTCACTGTCTTTAGCCATGTTTCCATCCACTTGTCAATCGAATTATCTGAAATTTGGTTAAAAAACTCATGCGGATAAAGCTGGTGAAAGTGTGTTTCCATCCAACGGCTTTAAAGCGAATAAAAACCTGTACGTAATGACGTCACATGCTGTTTTGCGATCAAATTGGTATATCGAATTGATTTGAGACATTTTAAGGTGTTTCCATTTATTTTCGCACTGAATCGAACAACATTCAAGCAAACTTTTGCGAACAAAGTTTTGTTGGACAAAACGGATCGCGCCATCTACCAAAAATGATCAATATTTCACAAGTTGAAGCCTAATAATGCTTATGTGCCAGCTGATAGCGACATATGAATGGGATAATGTATGCGAGGCGGTTGTTGGTTGTATTCGCTATAATCTGCTATTATCCTGCTTATTAGCCTACATATAAATCAACCAAATAAATAAATAAATCAATAATTTGACACAAAATATTGACTTAAAAACGAGTTTATTGATTTAAAAACGAGTATTGCTTCTGCTAAAGAAAATAGTGTGGGAACGACAGCGCTCCATCAGTTCTGGGAGATCGTGGTTCACGGAAACCCTTTGGTTGAAGCATCTTTTTGCTTTGTCCACTTACATCTGTCTTTGTTGACATCCGCCATGTGTGCGCAAACAGACTGGCCGGAAATGAACTCGTCTTCTGACGTGTTGCAACCATAAAAGGGCATAAAACTTAATCGCAATTCATTATTTATTCGGCAAATAACGTTTCCATCAGCTTTTATCGCATTAGCCGTATATCGATCAAGAGAAAATCCGATGAGACCGAACGTATTTCATTTGAGTCGATTTTCATGAAATTTCATCGAATTTTACTGTTTCCACAAGGCATTTTTCATTCGATATCACTCAATTCGGATAAAAACGTGTCGATGGAAACATGGCTTTTGTGAAGCTTGTAGGCTATACGTCACCATGATAAACAGTCTTGTTATCATTATGAACTTGTTTAACATTCAATACACATGCATTAAGTTCAAAACAAGAAGGGTATAGCCTTATAAAAAAAAAAGTGAATATCGCGGTTGCTGCGGTTCTGTGCAATCCTCTGCGGTTGACTTGTCAGAAATGGGTACTACAATATTGCGGTTATCGCGACAGCCCTAAATATAGTGTAATTTCACCTGTGCCATTAATATGTTTATAAGCAACTGAAAAAAGCACACATGTCAAGACATGTCAGAACATCTCAAGGACCCCAAAAACACCTTGGACCCCAGAGGGTTAATAACCAAGAGTGGTTTTAGAAAGAATCCTCTCCATGGATACTCATCATTGGTTGATTATTTCGTATGTGTTTTGTCGCCTTAATTCAGAAACTTTAATTTTTAGTTTTTTTCAATAACCACGCATAAACAATATTCTCTCAAAAGTACAAACATGTTGCTTATAAGTCATGGTTGCCCTGTTTGTGCTAAATATAGTGTAATTTCACCTGTGCCATTAATATGTTTAAAAGCAACTGAAAAAATCACAAATGTTGAAGCATGTCAGAACCTCTCAAGGACCCCAAATGTCGCCAGGGGGTTCAAATGTGAGATAGCCCCTGTACTAAAAACAGGATCAATAAACTACCATTTAAAATATTGGTTAAAATCAAATCATTAACGGAGTAAGATAAAGAAAGATTGGATCTTACCTGTGGTTCAATAAACCAACTTGATCGTCTACCTGCATTGTTCAAGTCACATATAAAATCAAATTTGTAGGCACTGAAAGCTGGAATCCGATGGTTTTTCGAATACAGTGTAGCATAATAATATTCATTGTTGTATTTCTGACAGATTCTAACATAGTTTTGATCAAATCCAATTGGTTCGCTCTCTTTGTAAAAGAATTGTTTACACAGATCAAATTGTGTGACCACTTCTGCATTCAGCCACAGAGGCAGAACAAAACAGGTTAAAATGACAAATGTGGACAGACCCATAATTAATACAGGCTTCTGCATAGACTGGATAGGGCACACAGAGACCTCTGGATTTTATAGCCAAATGCAACCTTGCTGTGACTGTGGTATGACAGGACTGATGGACAGAGTTCAGTGCACCATAGTTCACTTTGGACCGCATACAGAACTGGGCACACAGTGTTTCTGGGAAAATAACTAGAACAGGCACATCAAGGGAAAGATCTTGCTGTAAATCAATCACTGTCAGCAAATACACAGCACGGTGAAGCAATCAGAATGCTTGGGAATATAGCCAGAACTGTAGAGTACAAAATCCAGGGACATCTCTCTGTTTGCACTCTTTACATTTTCAGTAGTACAAAACGAAGCTTTCTCTGGATGCAGAATTAAAAGCAGATAAAAGTTAAAAGTTACTACTGTCAAGATGAGACCATTCCTATAGTTACAGGCATTTCTTTGTGTTTAGTATCTGAAGATCATATGGTCATGTCAGGAACCAATGATGACAGTTCAGATGGATATTTATCAGTATCCATGGAGAGGATTCTTTCTAAAACCACTCTTGGTTATTAACCCTCTGGGGTCCAAGGTGTTTTTGGGGTCCTTGAGATGTTCTGACATGTCTTGACATGTGTGCTTTTTTCAGTTGCTTATAAACATATTAATGGCACAGGTGAAATTACACTATATTTAGGGCTGTCGCGATAACCACAATATTGTAGTACCCATTTCTGACAAGTCAACCGCAGAGGATTGCACAGAACCGCAGCAACCGCGATATTCACTTTTTTTTTATAAGGCTATACCCTTCTTGTTTTGAACTTAATGCATGTGTATTGAATGTTAAACAAGTTCATAATGATAACAAGACTGTTTATCATGGTGATGTATAGCCTACAGGCTTCACAAAGACAGTGAATGAGAGAGATCGGCAGAGCGCGTGCAATTACCTGCGTCTGTCTTTGAAGTCGTGAAAAGCTTGTCGTGTCAAAGGGAAGCGAAATATTTGGAGCATCATCATTTTAACCTTCACGTCACGGGTATTTTCCCATAAATGCGTGTCAGCAGCAGCGCTGGTCAGCATCCCACAGCACAAGGAAGCCGCGGGGAAATAAAATCAATGAGTCACGCATTGAATCAATGCGATATCGGTCTTAATAAGTGAACCATCAGCTTCAGCGTTGCCCATGCGACGCATTGCTGCTCAGCTGAGCCTTGAAAAGTTGAACCTCAAAGTTAAAAATAAATAACATCTTGTTTCTTTAAATGTCTTTTAATGAATCATCTTTTTTAAACGTATTCGTTGAATAAACGGCTCAATGACTCGCTTAAAGTCCGTTGTCATAACAAAATGCGCGCTGAGTGAAAGTCTTTCTTTTTTTTTTCTTTTTTTTTATTTAACAGTCAGACATACATACAAACAAACCAACATAGTGCAGTAGTGAGCAATCTTGTAAATCCATAATTCCAGCAGTGGCAAGAGTGATTTAAGTGTTTGATCTAAGTGTGTAAGTGAGCGTGTATGAGCGTGGGTATGTGTATGCGTGTGTACACAAAGTAACCATTTATTATTTATTACCATTGTCATTACCATCACCATTCCACTCCCCACTACCACCATACTGCCCATATTGTTTTTGTAGATTTTTATTTCCATCCTTCCTAACAATTGCCATTGTCAATCCTGTATAAAATAATATAATATAATAATATAATATAATATAAGACCTTAAAAACGAGTTCCCACATCCTTCCCCCACATCTCATCAGTCCCTATCTTTTCCTATTTTTCTGTTTTTTTTGTTTTGTTTTTTTTGTGTGTGTGTTATGTGCAATGTCTAAAGTGCATTAAAAGAGGGAGTTCAGTGTGAGAATGTCTCAAATTGGGCCAGAGATGCTGTCCCGTTGAAACTACTTCTCGCCTGTCTTGCCTGCCTTGGTGTTTGCGATGTTTTTCCAAATATACTTATTCTTTTTTTTTTTTTTTCCCCCCGTTCTATGTTGTGGTGCATTAAAAACCCATGAAGAGATAAGGGGTAAGTTATTGCATTAGTGAAGACAATGACGCTTAATTCTAGTTATACAGTCTAATTCTACAGCATTGACAATGGCAATATTGATGGTAATAATAATAATAATAATAGTAGTAATAATAATAATAATAATAATAAATGACAATGATGATGGCAGTGGTGATCACTACGGTGAGAGAAAAAGACAGCAACAACAGCAATTACAACAATCAGGTGGTGGGTGAAGCAGGGACGAGATGGCGATCCGGTGGTGAAAACAGGTGATGACGTGCTCGAGTAAAACCCAGGGAAGTGGAACATCCAGAAGACACAAAGAACTGACGAAATCCAGGAACACGAAGAACTGATGAAATCCAGATGAGACACAGACGAGGCACGAGCACAGGAACACACCGAATGACAAACACAACTATCTGACAACAAGAGGGAGAAAATGCTGGGTATATATAGGAACTGAAATGAATGGCAGCTGGTGACACTAATCAACACAACAAGTAACCACACCCACACAATTACACTCACACAGACACATCAGCCTGAGACAGCCGATTCATCAACTGTGACAGTACCCCTCCTCCTAAGAACGCCTCCTGGCGTTCTCAGACTCCCTTACCTGTCGATTGTAATCATCAATAAGGGAGTGATCCAGGATGTCTCTAGCAGGTACCCAACTTCTCTCCTCCGGACCGTAGCCCTCCCAGTCCACCAGGTACTGAAATCCGCGTCCCCTCCGTCTCGAGTCCAGAATACGATTTACCGAATATGTTGGTTCCCCATCTACGAGTCGCGGCGGGGGGGGGGGGACCGGGGCAGGCGGATTAATGTGAGAACGAAACACGGGTTTAATTTTAGAGACATGAAAGGCGGGATGAATTCTCCTGTACGCAGGAGGAAGTTTGAGGCGGACTGTCACCGGACTAATAATCTTGGTGACAGGAAACGGGCCAATAAATTTGGGAGCTAGCTTGTTAGACACGGAGCGGAGAGGAATATTAAATAGGCGTAATAAATAGGCGATAATAAACTGACCATCTATAGGAATAATAAATAGGCGTTACCCCATCTAAGGCTGTCATGACCTTCGATTCGACCTCCCATACCAGAGTGGAGATGACAACCTTCTCAGGTAAAATACACTCGGGAGTCACCGGGCGTTCGGATGGATCAAAAATACGAGATAAAGAGTCGGGTTTGATGTTTTTGGACCCGGGGCGGTACGAGAAAACAAAATCAAAGCGTCCGAAAAAAAGAGCCCACCGAGCCTGCCTGGAGTTGAGTCTTTTAGCAGATCTGATGTATTCAAGATTCTTATGGTCGGTCCAAACGATAAAGGGTACCCCCGAACCCTCTAACCAATGACGCCATTCCTCCAACGCTAACTTAACTGCCAACAACTCTCTATTACCAATGTCATAATTACGTGCGGCAGGCGATAGTCGATGAGAAAAAAACGCGCAGGGATGCAACTTGTCGTCTGAGGAAGCGCGCTGTGAAAGTACTGCTCCTACTCCCACCTCTGACGCGTCGACCTCCACCACGAACTGACGTGTGGGATCAGGGGTGACAAGAATGGGAGCCGAAACAAAGCGACTTTTGAGGTTGGTGAACACTGCCTCAGCAGTGTTTGACCACCTGAACGTCGTTCGGGGGGAGGTCAAGGCAGTCAGAGGCGCGACTAGTTGGCTGAAGTTACGAATAAAACGTCGGTAAAAATTGGCGAACCCCAGAAACCGCTGTAGGGCCTTACGGGAATCTGGACTTGGCCAATCTACCACAGCCTTAACCTTGTCAGGATCCACGCGCACTCCCTCAGAAGAGATGATGTACCCTAGGAAGGGAACAGACTGTGCATGAAACGAACATTTCTCCGCCTTGACAAAAAGCCCATTCTCCAACAGTCTCTGGAGCACTCGCCTGACGTGTTGCACGTGTTCCTGGAGAGACGAAGAAAAAATCAATATGTCATCCAGGTAAACATATATGAACTGGTCTACCATGTCTCTCAACACGCCATTAACGAGTGCCTGGAAAACCGCTGGGGAGTTGGACAGACCGAAAGGCATGACCAAATATTCAAAGTGCCCCCTAGGGGTATTAAAAGCGGTTTTCCATTCATCCCCCTTCCTGATGCGGACCAAATGATATGCATTACGTAAGTCCAGTTTCGTGAAAATAGATGCTCCCTGCAACCTCTCGAAAGCTGAAGACATCAACGGCAAAGGGTATGAATTCTTTACCGTGATGTTGTTCAGCCCTCGGTAATCAATGCAAGGTCGCAGAGAACCATCCTTCTTCCCAACGAAAAAGAACCCCGCCCCCGCAGGAGAAGAGGAAGGCTGGATGAACCCAGAGGCCAGAGAATCAGAAATATATTTCTCCATGGCCTCCCTCTCGGGAATAGAAAGAGAGTAAAGTTTGCCTTTAGGCGGAGATTTACCTGGCAGTAACTCTATTGCACAGTCATAGGAACGATGCAGAGGAAGAGAAGCAGCACGAGACTTACTGAACACCTCCTTCAGGTCGTGGTACTCCGCGGGCACGTTAGATAAATCCGCCACCTCACTCTGAAACACAGAACCAGACACAGATGGACAGGCAGACACTAAACAGGACTCATGACAGTGGTTACTCCATGTGGAAACAGTGTTAGTGCACCAGTCGATCCGGGGGTTGTGTCTGGAAAGCCACGGGTGACCCAAAACCACTGGTGCAAGTGGTGAGTCCATGAGAAAAAATTAAATGAGTTCAGTGTGATTTCCGGAAGTGATGAGGGTAATGTCTTCAGTAACGTGAGTGATGCGGGGAAGTTCTTGACCATTGAGTGCGTTGACGATAATCAGGTGCAAAAGGGGTGTGACGGGGATCTGAAGTCTATGTGCTAGTCTGAAGTCCATGAAATTACCCTCCGCTCCCGAATCCAGAAGTGCGCTGGTGCAGTGCGTAGATTGTCGCCATCTCAGTCTTACCGGGAGGAGGGTTGATGTTGATGAGGTCTTCTCGGCGGAGATCCCACCCGATAGTAGCCTCATACTTACTACCGGGCTTGCTCTTTTACCGGGCAGGAGTGGATGAAGTGGCCCGCCCGGCCACAGTAGAGACAGAGTCCTTGGGATTTTTGCCGTTTCTCCCTCTCCTCCCGGGAAAGCCGAGCTCTCCCCACCTGCATGGGTTCGTGGTCGTTTGTGGGGCTGACCGCGCTCGCACCACCGGGTTGGTGGTCCTCTGCGCCGAACACTGGGCGGCTGGGGCGCGTCAGTCTGGTCACACGATTCAGTCGAGCGTCCACTCTCAGCGCAAGTTCCACCAGTCCATTCAGTGTCTCAGGTAAATCCATAGCATAGATCTCTCTTTGAACGCGGTCAGCCAACCCATGCAGGAACATATCCCACTGCGCCGCCTCGTTCCAACGGCACTCTGCGGCCAGGGTGCGGAACCGGATGGAAAAGTCCGCCACCGAGCCTTCTCCTTGTCGCAGCTCGGCGAGTAATCTGGCCGCCTCCTTACCCGCCACTGCACGGTCGAACACTCTCTTCATCTCCTAGGAGAGTGCCTGGAACGAGGCGCAGCAGTCGTCCTTGTTCTCCCACACCGCCGTCCCCCAAAGCGATGCTCTTCCTGACAGCAGGGTTAGCACAAATGCCACCTTCGCCTCTTCGCTCTGGAAGGTGTGTGGCTGTAAGGCAAAGTGCATAGAACATCTAGTGAGAAATGCTCTGCAAAACTCAGGCTCACCGGAATATCCCTCAGGTGTGGGTAGGCGTGGCTCTGATCTCCCCGCTGCTGCAGGCGCTGGTGGTGGGAGGACGGGCGGCGTGGGGGGCGCAGTGGGAGTCCGTAAAAGCTGTACCTGTTGGGTGAGCTCGGACACCTGCTTCACGAGTGCTTGCACCGCACGACCTGTGCCAGAGATACTCTCCTCCTGTTGATCCATCCGTGCGATACTGTGAGCGATGAAGTCATTGATCTGTGATGAATTTGCTGCATCCATGGTTTGGTCAGATCGTTCTGTGAGGAATAGATGGGAGGATGCAAGATGCAAATAAACAAGTTTATTGGTAGGTCAGAAATGACAAATGTAAGACACAGATCGGGGACAACACTCAGGTGGTGGGTGAAGCAGGGACGAGATGGCGATCCGGTGGTGAAAACAGGTGATGACGTGCTCGAGTGAAACCCAGGGAAGTGGAACATCCAGAAGACACGAAGAACTGATGAAATCCAGATGAGACACAGACGAGGCACGAGCACAGGAACACACCGAATGACAACCACAACAATCTGACAACAAGAGGGAGAAAATGCTGGGTATATATAGGAACTGAAATGAATGGCAGCTGGTGACACTAATCAACACAACGAGTAACCACACCCACACAATTACACTCACACAGACACATCAGCCTGAGACAGCCGATTCATGAACCGTGACAATTAACCAAAGATATAAATGTTTATTACACATACTGTATAGCCTGGTAATCAGATTCAGACTATTCATGGGTTTCAGTCACGTGACTTTTTTGTTGCGGCCGCCATCTTTAGGACCTTTGCGTAGCTTCTCCTGATCGGAAAGATATCGCACACTAAAATAGCACAGCACTCCTCATTACAGATGAAAAGGTATTTAAATAAAATTGATACTTAAGGTTTAGATCCGTGTTTACTTTCAAACGAACTGCTGACTTGTAAAAATTTGACGTTCGCTGACATTTACTACCTCGTCCACAATCCCTATCCATTCACCGGAAGGCATTTAAAAGCACTGAAGCCTACCGCTACTTCACCTCAGGATGGGTTAATGATCCCGGAATCTATCATCTGGAGATGAAGAAAATGTTCTCGATAACAGGAAGGGTAAGTGGCACTCTTTTACTTGCTGGACATAAAAGTATTGTTGAAATAAATTGACCGTTCGCAAAAACCCGCCCCCCCGCCATGTCCGATAAGCTCATTTATTTTTAGCACTCACAATATTTCAAAACATCTTTACTGAAAATGCATATGTACATTACAATTTAGAGTGTCAAAGTTATGAATTTCAGAAATGTAGACAAATCACTGTCTATTAATTTAAGGCAGAAACATTAAGCACAGCACATTCAGCCATATGTATAACTAAGGTTACTGATGTAAATATAGATAGCTGTCTAGAATGACGTTATACGTGTTCCAATTGTAAAAAATGTTTTATCAAGCTAATCTGTAATTTGCTAATTTTACTTTTATTTACATTTTCAGGTGAAGCATTCACAAAGCCTCAGTTTAACACCAACATACCACTGGATAACAGTACAGGAAGATGGGACAGTTCTCAGATATTTTGAAGAATGTCATCAACCAAACAGTAAACTGGAACCATTGACTTCCATAGTAGGAAAAAAATTACCATGGAAGTCAATGGTTCCAGTTTGGTTACTGACATTCTTCAAAATATCTTCCTTTGTGTTCTCCTGTAGAAAGAAATGCATGCAGGTTTGAAACAACTTGAGGGTGAGAATGATGACAGAATTTTCATTTTAAAGTGAACTATTCCTTTAATGAAGTTCATATCTTCATTAAGTGTTAGTTTTCAATCAGTAGTTTAAAATGCATTATTCAATAACATTCGGTTAAGTTACTATTTGTGAGCCGGGCACAGGGTTTCTGGTAGGAATAAATATTTGCACAGTAGAAATGCAGTTTGAATCTACAACCTAATTACCCATGTGGTTTATAATGTATATGGGATTTTTTATGAATGATTTGATTATTACGAATGATTAACAATAAACAGAATGAGAACAGAATTTTACTGTCACCTTTTTTTATTGCAAATAAAAAAAAAACAGACTTGTATCAAAACAAACATGAGTTCATATAGTTATGTGTTACACTGGGAACACAATGTTACGTAGTCTCTATTCTGAGGGTACAACAGATGGGCAAATGTTACACAAAGGGAGTCAGCCCAGGTCCCCCCTTTAGGAATCCTGACAAGAAGGTGAAGACGACCATCATCTTGGAATAGGATGGAAGTCCAGTTGAGTCCTCCTGGACCATCTCATCATTGTCTTTGAACACCTTCTGCTGGAAAGATACACTGTAAAAAATATCTACTTGGTTCTACTTAAAATCATAAGTTAAGCAGCTGCCTCAAAATTTCAAGTAAAAACAAAATGGATTAATAAATTGTTTTAACTCATTATTTTGATTCTTGTTAAGCTGTGAATTGCCTTCTGCGAGTCAACATGACTTAACATTTATTGTTATTTCAACTTTGCTATGCAAGTTCAAAATAAAGTGAACTCATTAATGAGCATTCTGTTCACTTATCCCCATTAGTGGGTTGAACTTAGTAATTTCAATTAAGTAATTTATTTGAATTAGGGTATCAAGTTAAGATAATCTAAAAGAATGCCTTGTTTTAACTTAACAATTAATATAAAACACAAATTTGAGTACAAAACATTTTTTTTTATTAAAACGTCTCTGGTTACGTATGTAACCTTAGTTCCCTGAAGGGAACGAGACGCTGCGTGTAAACGCCGTGGGAACGCCTCTGCGTGACGAGTCATGAAGCACGTATGAAATCTGTCCAATGGCGAGACGGAACGTCATAGGCGGGGTGACGTATCGACCAGGAAACTATAAAGCATCCCCGAAACACAAGCGCAACAGCTTCTGATAGGACTGAAGCAAGCGCTCACGGGCATGCTGGGAGTATGGCATAGACACGCAGCGTCTCGTTCCCTTCAGGGAACTAAGGTTACATACGTAACCAGAGACGTTCCCATTCAGGGAACTTCGAGCTGCGTGTAAACGCCGTGGGAACGCTAATACCAACGCCGCCATGCGAGCAGGTGTCCGTTGTATGAATATCAGAGTGCACATTCTGACGAAAGCATCTGAGCCCCAGGGGTGGAGCTGAAGTCCAGATGGTAAAACTTCACAAATGTGTGAGGTGAAGACCATCCTGCCGCCTCACAGATGTCACACAAGGGAACTCCTGATAATAATGCCTTAGAGGCAGCCATACTCCAGGTTGAATGAGCCCGGACAGCCAAGGGAGAAGGCTGACCAGAGGACTCATAAGCAAGTGAAATGGCCTCGACCACCCACTTACTCATTCTCTGCTTAGACGCCGCAGAACCTCTATTAGGAGGCCCAAAGCAGACAAATAATTGTTCTGATTCCCTCCACAGGGCAGCTCTGTGGACATACGCGTCTAAGGCCCTCACCGGGCAGAGCAGATTTAGTTTCTCCTGGTCTGGTGTCCGAAACGGAGGAGGACAGAAGGCCTGTAGCACTATAGGTTTGACAACCGTAGTTGGAACCTTCGGAACATACCCCGGTCTAGGGAGGATGAAAGCCTTCGCCATACCGGGAGCGAATTCCAAGCACGAGGGGGAAACCGACAGCGCCTGAATATCTCCAATCCTCTTCAGGGAAGAGATGGCTAGGAGAAAGATGGTTTTGAGAGTAAGAAACTTCTCAGGCACCTCATCAATGGGCTCGAAAGGGGCTAAACAGAGCCCCTCCAACACAACCGCTAGATCCCAGGTCGGTACCCTCGTACGCACTACCGGCCTCAGCCTCAGGATACCACGAAGGAAACGGGTTACCAGGGGATGTCTCCCAAGAGAAGCTCCACTCAAAGGGACATGGTAAGCGGATAGGGCCGCCACGTACACCTTTAGTGTGGAGTACGATAACCCTGTGGAGAAGCGTTCCTGAAGGAATTCCAGCACTGCCGACAACGGGCAGTTAACTGGATCCAACTGTCGCTCTCCACACCAAGAGGTGAACAGTTTCCACCTCGAGGCATACAACTTCCTCGTGGATGGGGCTCTGGACTGGAGGATGGTCTCCACGACCTCAGTCGAGAGACCTGAATCTATGAGCTGGGCCCCCTCAGAGGCCAAGCCCACAACCTCCACAGTTCCGGACGGGGGTGGAGTATCCCCCCGTCTGCTTGAGACAGAAGGTCCCTCCTGACCGGAATCTCCAGAGGAGGACCCTAGAGAAGGGAAATCAGGTCCGCAAACCATACCCTGGTTGGCCAACGGGGGGCCACCAGAAGTACACTGACCCCCTCCTGGCGAATCCTTTCCAGAACCCCTGGGAGCAGAGCAATCGGGGGAAAAGCGTACAGGGGTGCCCTCGGCCACTCCTGTACCAACGCATCCAGCCCCAATGGAGCTGGAGGACTCAGGGAAAACCACAGCGGGCAGTGTGAGTTCTCCCTGGACGCAAAGAGGTCCACTTCGGCCCGACCGAAGTGTCTCCAAAGGAGCTCCACCACCTCGGGGTGAAGTCTCCACTCCCCGGGCCTCGGCCCCTGCCTCGACAGGATGTCCGCTCCCCGATTTAAGTATCCTGGGATATAAATCGCTCTCAGCGACCGAAGTTTCCCCTGGGACCACAACAGGATCTGGCGCGCCAGCTTGTACAATGGACGTGAGCGCAGACCCCCCTGGTGGTTTATGTAAGAGACCACAGACATGTTGTCTGACCGGACAAGAACATGATGATCTCTGAGGTCTGGGAGAAAGTGTTTCAGAGCCTGAAACACCGCCATCATCTCTAGACAATTTATATGCCATCGGAGATGATGGTCTTGCCACAGCCCGCGGGCCGAGCGACCACTCATGATCGCTCCCCAGCCCGTGAGAGAGGCATCCGTCGTCACCGTTACCCGGCGACACGGGGCTCCCAGCGCAGGTCCCAGGGACAGGAACCAAGGTTCTTTCCACATAGCCAGGGCACGGAGACCACGTCGCGTGACCTTGATCTTGCGGAGCGGGTTTCCCCTCGGGGAGAACCCCTTGGTCCTGAGCCACCACTGTAGTGGCCTCATGTACAGCAGGCCGCACGGTAAAACGTTGGATGCTGCTGCCATCAGACCCAGAATTCTCTGGAATTCCTTTACAGTGAGTGACTGGCCTAGCTTCACTTGCGTGACAGTCGAGATAATCGAGGCTATACGAGCCGGCGACAGACGTGCCTGCATCGTCGTCGAATCCCATACCACGCCTAGAAAAGTGGTCCGCTGAACTGGCGAAAGCACACTCTTCTTGGCGTTGAGTCTCAACCCCAACCTTCTGATGTGGGCGAGGACGGCATCTCGATGCCGAATCGCCTGACGCTCTGATTGAGCCAGAATCAACCAATCGTCGATGTAATTTAAAATGCGAATGCCCTGGAGACGCAGCGGGGCCAAGGCTGCGTCCATGCATTTCGTGAAGGTTCGAGGAGATAACGCTAGGCCGAATGGAAGGACCCGAAATTGGTACGCTTCGCCCCCAAAAGCGAACCTCAGGAACTTCCGATGTTGCGGAAGGATGGAGATATGGAAGTACGCGTCTTTTAGGTCTATCGTGACAAACCAGTCCTCGGACCTGATCTGTGACACGATCTGCTTGAGAGTCAGCATTTTGAACTTGAGCTTCCCTACTGACCGATTTAAGAGGCGCAGGTCTAAAATCGGACGCAGCCCCCCATCCTTCTTTGGAACAATGAAGTACCGGCTGTAATACCCCAGCTCTCTGTCGGGAGGAAGAACTCGTTCTATCGCCCCCTTCAGTAGCAGAGCTTTCACTTCTTGTTCCATAACCAGAGCCTGCTCGGGGGTCACCACTGTGGGCAAAACCCCCCGAAAACGAGGTGGACGCGACCTGAACTGGATCGCGTACCCGCGTTCGATAGTCTGCAGGACCCAACGAGATATATTTGGAAGACTTCCCCATTCTACCAGAAATTCTACTAAGGGTACCAGCCTCTCGAGACTGGCCTCTGGAGTAGTTTTTAAAACAGAAACAGCGCCCTGTGACCGCGCACAGGCAGGGTTTAACGACCGTTCTGTATCGCTCCTCGGAGCAAACGAGCGTCCCTCGGGAAATCGCTCGCTGGGACCGTCTGCACCCCCCATCACAGGCAGGGTTGGCAGAACGAACCCCTGAGGGCACCGAGAGAGAGCGGGCGCCGGATTCAGCGGCGAACACCTCTGTCTCAAGGTGGGGACCACCCTCAGTAGCCTGACACCAGTGGCGTCAGGACTTCTTCGACGAAGCCTTCCTGGCGACAATAACCGTCCTCAGATCGGTTCTATCCCGGGAAGACCTCGCCTGAGAACGCCGCGTCTCAGCCCAGTTTTGCTGGGGAGGAGCCCGAGACGCAACGCTCTTCTTCTGCTGCGCCCTATGCGAGGAACCCGACGGGCGGGGCTGCTCTCTCCCAGCAGCCCCCGAAGGATGAGTACGGAGGGGGAGACATTTCTGGAGCGCCGCTGCCTGCTTTTTTCCCTCTTGGAATCTCTCAATCACTGCGTTCACAGAACCACCAAAAAGACCTTCGGTCGACAGCGGCGCATCCAGGAGAAAAGCTTTATCTTTCTCCTTCATATTAGCCAGATTTAGCCATAAATGCCTCTCCGTGGCCACCAGGGCTGCCATAGAGCGGCCGACTGATCTGGCCGTCTCCTTGGTGGCACGGAGAGAAATATCTGCCGCCTGACGCAGCTCATTAATCACGTCAGTGCTGACGACCTCCCCCTCGCTCATATCCTTCAGCAGATCTGCTTGATACGCCTGGAGGATGGCCATCGTATGCAAGCAAGATGCTGCCTGTCCCGCCGCTGAATAAGCCTTGCCCACCAAAACCGAAGTATTTCTGAGTGGCTTGGTGGGCAACGCCGGTGTTTTAAAAGACGATGCCGTCTCAGGAGAAAGATGGCTCGCCAAAACTTCCTCCATCCTCGGCATCGCCCCATAACCGTGTCCCCTAGACCCAGCAATATTAGCATACATAG